TGACCCTTATGACTGGTTTTGTGGTCCAGGGTCACATATACTGAAATGAAAAGAAGGTGTAATCTTATTGTTACTACAGTATTACCATTAGGGTTCACTCGGTAGTCTACACTTGGCAATGTGATCTCCTGCTGGTCCTCTTCCTCTTCAGGACTCCGTTCCACTGTAAGCTCATAAAGCTTGAAGGAGATCAGGTCATGGTTATCTAGAAACAAAACATGCAAAAAATGAATAAAAAATAAAATAAAAAAATGAATAAATAAAATTACAAATAAATAAATAAAATGCTAGTAATTCCTATCGGTTATAAAAAAAATAACATTACATCTAAAGAACGTAAACCACTATGTTTCCATTTCCAGGGAACAACAAAATTATTTTACATTTATTTTATATTATTTAGCTAAGTATACTAGCAGTGATGGGTTTACTGGCCCTTGTTTCTATCATTTCCATCAAGTAATTTTCAACATTAGAGAAGATGTGGAGCTCTTGAACTGGTAAATGGAAACATATTTTATTATCATGTTTTTAATGTAAAATACATAAGAGCAAAAAGCCTCTCCAGACACTCTTTTTTGTGAATGCAGACAGATATTATATTGCTCTTAAAATTGATTACTATGTCTGATGAAAAAATATTGGGTGAACTGATTGAAATCTTGTTTAATATACAAACTGATATTATAACTTAGTTTATGTTTTTTAATTAGTGTAACATTAATTCTATGGAAATGTTAGGATTGGCCCAAAATGAGTATGATTTGCATAAGATCTGAATATCTGCTGGACTAAAATGGAGTGACGCAGGTCCAAACCTGATAAATCTCCAGTGGCTGATGAAGCGCCGAAGTAGTAACCTTGTGGCAGCCTCACTCCAGGCATATCCAGGCAGTCCTTCCACTCTTGCTTCCCCTCGATATCTGTCATCACCTGAAAGGCAGAACAGCAAATGGAGGTGCATACAGAACTAAAGGCTGCTTTCCAACATCCGTCTAAACAACACTTCCTTAATCTCAATCATCAGAAGACAAGCACATTTAACCTCTCCCTTGTTATGAGCATCAGCTTAGCAGTATGAAAGACTGGTTTAGCAGTGCATGTATGTATTTGTCTTTGTCTGAACTAAGAAACACAGAATGTAAAGATGTTTCTTACTGTGAGTCTGTTCTTCATGTATCTGATCAGGAGGAATGTGTCATATTCAACATTACGAACGTGAACAGCGCAGCCACCAAGATCAGTAAGCCGTCCGTCACGGTCATGATCATATGCAACACTCCCGTTCCCGACCATCGCAGAGATAAAAGGAAACGTTCTCTGAATGAGAGACAGAAATTAAACGGGCTAGATTATTACTGTTTTTAACAGGTGAAAAAAAAATAAATAAATAAATGTGGTGATATACCTCATGCTGCTTGTCATCATTGGGATAAGTGTCTACAAAAACACCCAGACCTGTAAAAAAGTTTGCGTTTCCAAACACTTGACCTAGAGGAAAACACAGAATATAAAAAAAATTGCATCATAGTCATATCACGGAGTATCAATATTTTGAAGATTTGCAATATTGATGATCTCGTACCATTTTGCATTCGCTCTTTGGTCAGCCATATTGCAAGGCCGTCCCCATTCAGGTTCTTCTTGCCCTCACCATGGATCTTAAATTGTACTCGGAGCTCCCAGTCCCTGAGGTAACAGGGCTGCACACACAAACACACTGATGAACAAGCCTGACTATTACCCATTGTCTCAAGAATCTCTTTGTCTAAAAGGGTGCTGATTAATAGCTTTGTCTAATTGGTGGCGTTTCAGGTTTTCTTGTCATTCAGACTCACAATACGACTCCATACAGCTCCTTGTCTGCTCTGCAAGTCTGGTGTCAGCCGTATGTGTTCAGGCATGATCATGGTGTTTCCCATGAACTCCCAGTGTGAGGAGCTGGAGGAGCCCAGTCCTGTGTACATACATCAACATTTCACACAAAATGTATATGCATACTATATGTATATATAGCAAACATTTATTTATTTATCTCCCTCAAGCTGTAACTTGCTAGTAAACGCAATGGATAGTTCAAGATAAAAGTTGCTATAAATAAAACTGGATATACACATATGTGATGCGATATAAGAGATATCTCTTCAGTCAACATTTGACTGCATCCCAATTAAAAAAAAATGCTTTCTCTTTACTTATTCCTTGTCTAGCTTGTACTAATCTGAACTGAACTTTGTATAACGAGCACTTCCTGTGTTTATTTGCCTCTTTATGATGAACGTTGTATTCCTAAACTGTCAAGTCGCTTTGGATAAAAGCGTCTGCTAAATGAATAACTATAAATATTAATGTAATAAATACACAGAGTGCATATTGTTTAATAAAGCATATGAACCGGAATATCTAACTGTCCTGCACTTCCGCCCTGTGGATTTGTGACTAAATCACTGCAGTTGCGAAATAAAACTGCCACTGTTACGAGAGCAAGAAAAGGGCAACAAACAATACCAAAAGAAATAAAGGACACAGTGGCCCTCCTAACTGTAAACCTGTGGTCTCATTTAAATATTTTCTTTCTAACTAGTTGACTTAAAAACAGGTGTAACTTCTGGCAGGGCACCGGTTTAACGTCACTGAGGGAACAGGAATTGGCGCTTACCTTGGTATGGCTTACTCAGCGAATACTCTCGCTTGAGAAATTCGTAAGTGGTATCTTCATATGTGTTTTCGCCTGAGCTACTACTCGTAAAAGCGAGTATTAATACGAATAACGTAGATAATCTAATTTTGTTTGCCAGACTGTACGGTAAATCCATTACTGTTGTGTAAATAGTCCCGTTCAACTTCATCACGATGGTCGCCATTTTTCCTCGCTCACTTCAAAATGCCCGCCCCTTGCCGCTATTCGTCTATTTTCATTCGTGCTCTGCAATAAGTGGTTTACAATATTGTCAATCAGTTTTTCGACCAATCACCGTTTTCCATGCATTACGTTTGGTGAGTATGTGTGCCAATAAAGTAAGTGAATCCTGAGAAAATATAATGCTAAAAGGTTATTTAAAATGCTATTTTAAATCTGAGTTCTAAATCTAAACTTAAATCCAGATGTTTATTTTTAATTTACCTATCTATACTATTATGCAAATTGTCATATCCCTAGGCTGTGTTTGTTTGGCAGATAAGCAAATGTTTGTTATTCAAATAAACTGAATTCTAAGCTCACACTTTTTACTTGGCGTATATTACTGGCGTATATTTAGGCTTTATTGTCTGTTGTTTTTTTGTTTTGTTTTTAATATTGCACAAATGTGATGATATTTTGAGAAATTAAGAGGGCTCTGACCTAGTTATTTTAAATCAGCATACAAAGATCTTTAAAAATAAATGTCAAAATACTCTACATTTTAAACATTAACATAGCCTAAGTTAATTTCTGTGCATATTCGTCTGGTGAGCAGATATAACATAAGTCGCTTCTTAAACTGCATAGGCTGCTTAAGGAGAAATCGATCCGTACAAGACATAGAAATGTATAGTTCTTGTGGCAGAATTTCAGTTGTGAACAGTCCATGTCCATTTATTGTTGTTAATAAAATAAGTGCCTAAAGACTCGATAAGCAATTGATTAAACGTGCTCTTCTTGCTACGGAAGTAAACTAGGACACTCACTGCTGCAGTCAGACACAATGATGAATTATCCTAATGTTATATGGATAAGCAAATGTTTGTTATTCAAATAAACTGAATTCTAAGCTCACACTTTTTACTTGGCGTATATTACTGGCGTATATTTAGGCTTTATTGTCTGTTGTTTTTTTGTTTTGTTTTTAATATTGCACAAATGTGATGATATTTTGAGAAATTAAGAGGGCTCTGACCTAGTTATTTTAAATCAGCATACAAAGATCTTTAAAAATAAATGTCAAAATACTCTACATTTTAAACATTAACATAGCCTAAGTTAATTTCTGTGCATATTCGTCTGGTGAGCAGATATAACATAAGTCGCTTCTTAAACTGCATAGGCTGCTTAAGGAGAAATCGATCCGTACAAGACATAGAAATGTATAGTTCTTGTGGCAGAATTTCAGTTGTGAACAGTCCATGTCCATTTATTGTTGTTAATAAAATAAGTGCCTAAAGACTCGATAAGCAATTGATTAAACGTGCTCTTCTTGCTACGGAAGTAAACTAGGACACTCACTGCTGCAGTCAGACACAATGATGAATTATCCTAATGTTATATGTTTTTTTTTTTATTATTACGAAATAAATGCAATCCATCTTGTAGAGAGGCGTTTGACATTTCAAACTGTCTGCAGTTTAATTTACTCTCCACTAGAGGTCACTAGAGGACTGGAATTGCTTGCTCACACAGCTCTTGTATTTTGAGTTACAGAATTTTTATTTCACCTTCGATTATTAGTTATACACTCTGCACTCAAATCCTCGCTACTTGTGGATTTCTTAAGCGCAAATTCTTCCTGTGTCACAAATCTACACAGATTTAAAACAGCAATGGGTAACTTAAAGGAGGGAATACCTTGACAAAATACTGGTGGCAGCATGAGAGGAGGTTAATAGACCTGCATTTTAGCCGAGCAGTTCCTTCAGCTGTTTCAGAATATGATGTCTGGCCCATTTTGGTGGGTGTTCATGAAGTTATTAGGTTTCCTTGTTGAGTCCAACCTGTAACTGTATACAGTGGCAGGTCGCACTGACTGTGCTAGCAGACAGCATGCTGAAATAAAGTGTGGCTTGGAGTTTGATGCTCTTTAGACTATAATCAGAGGGAAACATGTTCACGCCTAAGCTTTCATACCTAATCAGGCAAGACAGAGAATACCATTTATACCAGCTCAGGCTACTTCACTGAGTTGCCCCCTCTGCTCTTCCCACACACTCTGTTTTCCTCTATCAGGCTTATGAAGGCTTGATTACCAGCACTGTAATGAGTACAACCCAGCTATGCAAGTCAAAATAAGACAGTAAAAATAAAATAAAACAATAAAATGAAATAAAAATAAATAAAACGAATCTATGAAATTACAGTGAATCAGCAGTATTATTTAAAATGATATTATATTTATTTAACTTTTTTATTTTGTTTTACAACAAAAAAAATCCTGATGAAGGTCATGCGACCGAAACGTAGTCAATAAATATTTTGATAATTGTTGCATAGATAGTGTGTGCGGGATTAGTTTTTTGACCTGGTTGGTCTTTGTCTCCAACGCACCTATCTATTGTCGTCAGGTGTGCGGAGTTTAATTGTTAAATCATTTATAATGTAAAAATGTATAATTTAGAGATTTTATTAGAAAGTTCTGCTTTGCATGTAGCTTGATTGCATTTCTTTCTTATCAATTGGTGATAGTGTTTTTCTCAAATCAAAGCTTAGGAAGAAAAACGGTCACAGATTAATTTTAATGCAATATTCCGACCTTAAGAAGGGTAACAAAGTGTAGAAAATATTTGAATTAGTCATAATTTCTCTATATATCACAGATATAAAATCAAAAGTGGAATACCCCAAGAATCTATGTGCATCCAAGAAAATGTAATATCATAACACAATTTAAAAAGGTTTTACAGCCAAACCTTTCTTTTAAATCTTTTGAATCATGAATCTTTGCTTTTTTTGATCCTTGCATTTCTCTTTCTCTGTTCCATGATTAACATGTCTTGTCTTTGCCAGACCTTTTCATTCATCAAGATACAAGATAAGAAGGTGTAAAACTAGGATTATGGTGCCAGAAAATTCCTAACGACCAGTTTCTGAGCAAAGGTATCCCAATTCAAAGTATGTTTCTCATTCTCGCTTACTGTACCACGGACGGACATCTGTTACAGAGACACAATATGCCTTTGGAATCAACAAATTCATTCAGTCTAGACAAACTAATTCCAAGTATGGATCACCATACTTGGCCACATGTCACGTCACTTTCACTTTTTCTATTGATTTTGACACATTTATGTGATGTTTTCCTAGAAGAGAAGTGAAACAATTAATGCCGATATGGGTTGAGTAAGGTTTACCAGTAAGTACATGTTCACCCACAAAAGTTTAACCCTTAAAAACGTTCTGTTGTCATTCAGTAAGTAGCAGCTGCTTCACTGGCCCTCATTCAGTGTAATCCATATTTGTGAGGTCAATATCACCTGCTGTTTTTATACTCCATTACCAATTACTCAGGCTCCATAATCCTGAATTTGAAACAGATCATTCCGCATCAAGCTGCACCTGTTCATATAGCACTGAGTTCGCTGAACACGTTATAACGAAGCGGAGCGTTTTAAAGGACATCTCCATTATATAAATGGTAATTCTTTTGGATATATTTTGTTTTTAAAGTAGGCTACACTGAGATATGGCCCACCTGTGAATAATTTGATCATAAATAAGCCTTAATTCTCTTTCTATAGCGGGTGTCACAGGAATATCTGCAGTTTGTATATCTCAGCGCAGACAGCAGACATTAAGAACACCTTCAGACATAAATTTTGACGCTGTTTGAATCAAAAGCCGTAATTCGAGGCAGGAAAGGGATCTGCTTGAGGAATGATTGGCCTCTTTGTGCTGAAGTGTCCTCAGTGCGCCTCTTCTTCCATCGAGGTGTTTGTGCTGACAAAAGAAAACGGAAGAGAAAGAGTACATTTCCTTAATTAAATAGCACCGCTCCAAACCCATCCTCATCAGAATGTCTCTCTCAATCAATAATTCACACCAATGGTGATTCCTTAAGTGTCTGTTAGTCAGTGAAAGTGCATGTTTTTATTTATTTAATTAACGGTATCTAAATAATTCCTTGTTCTAGCTCTTATTTTATTCTATGTAAATAATATAAAAGTAATTCTAAAAGAATATTTTATTAAAATGAATGTTTTCATACAATTGCAAGTTTATAATTGAAATAGTTTATCATTTAAAATAAATATAAAACTCTGGTTATTTGGTTAACCTGCTGTTAAGCTAAGGAATATTAGTATAATATCTCATCACTATGGTTAACACTTATTTCCTGAATCATCAAGCCTTTATTCACTCCAGATCTGCCGTCTTCTCCCAGAGGAAGCCTCCACTCACCTGTTATCTGTCTGCCGATTTTTACTGTTGACTTTGATCAATATGCCTCATTAACATTAAAGCAAGCCTGTCGTCTGTTCATTTTATTTATTTATTCCATCATACCGATGAATGCTGTGCTGACTGTCCTTTGGCTGTCTGGCTCTTTGACTTTTTTTCAGGGTACACTCTGTCCATATTTGACCCAAAGTTGGGTTGAAACAACCCAGCATTTTTTAGAGTGTAGAAACTTGTTTAAAATAAGACTTTTTAATGTTTTTGAAAGGTCTCTTATGCTCACCAAAGTTGCATTTATTGGATAAATAATATAGCAATACAGTAAACAGTAATAATAATAATTAAAAAAATTATTACATTTTAAAATAACAGCATTGTATTTTAATTTATTTAAAAATTTAATATTTTCAGCAGTCATAACTCCAATCTTCAGTGTAACACGATCCTTCAGAAATCATTCTAATGTGCTGATTTGGTGCTCAAGAAAAAAAATATCAGTGTTGAAAACAGTGATTAATATTTTTGTGGAAAGTAACATGATACATTTTCTTTTTCTCAGGATTCTTTGATAAATAGAAAGTTTAAAAGTGCAGCATTTATTTGAAATAGAAATCTTTTGTAATATTAATGTGTCTTTACTCACTTTTGATGCAGTCACGCCTCCAAGAATGCAATTGTTTTTAACACACACACACACACAAAATATTTTCAGTTTTTGTAAAAGTGATACATCTCGTGTATGTTCATTTTAGAGCCTTACAAATAGTTTCCACAAATGTTTATGGAGAGCCACTTCAAAGAGAAAACC